CTGACTCGGAACCGAACTTTAATTAAGACTCGACTTTTGGAGTCGAGTCGAACCGAACCGAACTTTTAACATCCCTATGTGACAATAATCCTAATTGTCGCTAGTTTGGGCTACATCTACAACCATAGTGATCATCAATCTGCGGATATTATCTTCTGAACGAATATAATAATCGCCAATCAATTTTTTGTGAGACATATTAACCCACATAATGTAATGGTATTTTTTTCGATCATATGGGCTAATACATTGTAAGTATGAATAAATTTGATAATTGAATAAGAGCATTGAATACAAATTAGTCTAATTTATGTGGTGCAGGACATCTATACATGAAGTGGTTCAATTTTTTAAATGGTTATAACCTTTTATCTAAGTTTTAAAAAAATCTGACCGGTAACTTTATAGAGCTCTACATGTGTACCAAATATCTTTTCAAAATCTCATCACTGTAAAAAGTTTTAGCGATTTGAAAATTGAAATTTTCAATTTTCATAAAAGGTTATAACCATTTAAAAAATTGAACCACTTCATGTAATTGTTGAGTCTAGATGTCCTGCACCATATTAATTTAGCAATAAGATTATATTTCTATTTTTAAAGTATATCTAATCATTTGCTGCCTTCATACACTGACAATTATAAATATCATATTCATTATTCCCAATAGAGAAGTAATTAGACTAAATCTTTAAATAACTGCAGCATGAACGAAACTCTTTTAAAAATAGACACAGGGAAAGGTTTTGCACTTCAAGGTACATTATACCTGAAATCTGATGCTCAAAGCGACGCTGTAATTATAATATGTCATGGTCTTAAAGGTACAAGAAATGCAGAACTTGTCCGATATATTGCCAAAAGTTTAAAATATCATGTAGTTTCCTTTGATTTTCAAGGAAATGGTGAAAGTGGCGGATTAACAACCATTGGAAATCTTGACGATGAAGCGGAAAATCTTCGTTGTGTTATTTCTTACGTGCGATCAACATTGGAACGCGAAATCCTTGGCATATGTGGTCATAGTAAAGGTGCTGCTGTTGTCCTTTTATATGCGTCAAAATACAATGATGTTCCATTAGTTGTCAACATTTCCGCTAGATATGATTATGCGAGCTCTGACTATATCGAGAAATTCTTTTCTGATAAGCTTGAACAATTGAAAAAAGATGGTTTTTTTGTTTGGGGTAGTGATTATATTGTTCGGCAAGAAGATTTGGATGCGAGACAGAAAATAGACATGTCTTGTGTAAGAAATATTAATAATGAAAGAGTGAGAGTTTTGACTGTTCATGGCTCGAAGGATGAAGTTTGCCCCGTGGATGGTGCTTATATCTACGACGAGTTAATCGGCCCTGAACCTCACCATAAACTTATAGTAATAGAAGGCGCTAACCATTCATTTAATGAACAAGAAGATACGTTATTGAAGGCTGTAGAGTCTTGGCTTTCTGAAAACCATTCTTGGTATTTAGGCCAATAGTTTTCCATGGATAAAGTTCCTTTTACAGGCAAATTTATTGGGCATTGTTATATGGTGCCCCATGAATTCGGTGCACCTTTCTATGTCTCAAAATTTTGACTACGAAACCGCCTTCGGGGTACTAAGGAAAAATATTCCTTGTTAAATTTTACTATAAACTAACCTAACCTTTAATCTTTACCCTTACCTTAATATTAAAGAAATTGAATTTCGATAATATAAATCTTATTAGAGACACCAAATTCACGGGACACCGTTTAACATTCCCCAATTTTTTTTTACATTTTATGGGCAACTATAGAAGCCGACGTGAATACATAAAGGCTCACATATACCGTAATTCAAGGAAAAATGGATGTTTTTTTAATTTAGAGAGTGAAACATACGGATTATGTAATTTGTGAATTATAAAAACGTTAAGATTTATCTACTTTGATATAAAATTTTATAATTTTGGGGGTGTATCTTTTTTGCTTTTTTGTAATAGTTAGACTAGAATTTAGGGTTAGAATTGTTATAAAAGAGTATATGTGGGTTTTAGTAGGTGTAATGGATCCAAATTAAGACCCCAAAATTCAGCATCAACCGTGACATTAAATAAAGGAAACGTTTTTTATTATTTTGCAATATATAAATAATTTTCACAAATACATTACTGTTACCCTCTTCAAGTATATGTTTAATGAGCGCATCTTTATTAGAGCTTTATATCTTTTACTCTATAAATGCATATTATACATACTTTTGTCTTTTGTATTATAGTCTCAAAAAAGGTTGTATCTAAAAAAATCTATACGTGAATATTTAAATTATTTTTTTAATAATCTAAATCTATTATAACAAATAATTTTAATTTTGACTAATATAATGCACTTGACCCTCGTTAATATCAACCCATTTGGATTGGGCAATTATGTTGATATAGGGTTGATAGTATCGGGATAGTTTTAATATACCCTGAGTCTATTTTGTCTTAATAAGAGGTTGATATTAACGGGAGGTTGATATTAACGAGGTTGATATTAACGGGGGTCAAGTGTATTTAGATTTTTATTTATTTATAATTATTTTATTAAAAATTACAAATCATTAATGGTGTTTATTGTCACATAGTGTTTCTAAGGTTCAGTTCAATTTAGGTTCAGGTTTAGGTTCAATTGAACCTGAACTGAATTTTAAATTTTGCAAATCTTTGAACCTGAGCCTGATCTAAACTTTAAATTTATAAACCTTAACTAAACCTGAATTTAAATTTTTGGTTCAGTTCAAGTTCAGTTCAAGTTTATTAACAATTCAAGTTCAATAATATTTATATATTTATATGTGGGTTGAATCATAAGTCTTGTTGTAAGGTGATTATCTCAATCATTTTTAAATCTATAATTTTAGAAGGGAATTACTATTTGTACACAGGATATTTGAATATAAGTATCAAAATTTTGATTATAAAATATACTCTTTGCTATATAATAATTAAAAAATATTATAGATTGCAATTTATATAATTTTAGAACCCTTATTATTAATTTTTTATATTTAAATAATTTGTAATTACAATTGCAATTGCTAAAGCTAGCTAATTTATTATGAATCTAAGTTTGTGTTGTCTAGCTTTAGCAATTATGATTACAATTACAATTATTTAATAGATAATTTGCTAATTATTTAAAGAGCTATATAATGCAGATTATACAAGATTTATATATTATAATCTTTTAAAATACTAACTGTTTCTATTGTAAAGCATAGAATTTATCTTCACAAAGATGCAATTGTATCTAGCCAACTGTACTTTTTAATATTTTTATACTCAAATTGATAAGTATATTAAATTGATTAAACTAAATCTTATATCTAATCAAATAAAAGAACTTATTTACAAACATAACAGCTTTCCTTACACTATCTAGAACTTATACTAAAACTACAATCAAAAAATATGTTGTCAGTTATTTATAAAAAAAGTATTATATATCTAAAAATTTTATATACTTTTGCTTCTATAGAATAGCAAACCAATTATATTTTTGTTCAGACATCTGCCATTTCAAAAAGAAGAAAAATTGATATAGTTAAATCTCTATAAATACAATATATACAGATTAGTCTAAAATATGCATTTAGAGAAGCTTGTATTTAGAAAAAGCTAATCAAATTGTAGCTTATAATATTTAATCTGCAGGCTTGTATAACAAACTTAAATACTAACTTCTGATTAGTAACATGCATTTAGAGAGGTTAGTATAATATAAAAAATCTTTTGAATAAATATACATTTGCAGAATATAAAATATGTATTTAATATTAATGATTTCATACAGCCAAGACAAAACATGTATTTAAGGAGGTATTGCATTTATAGAGATTGTATTTAGGAAGTTTTGACTATATCTGATATACATATTAGATCAAATACAGTATTACATTAAACTTTTATTTTAACTATAACAATTTAGATAAGTTTTTGACTACTCTAGTAGATTTAGATTGCAGATAAATATGTTTGAGCTTTTATTCTTGTATATAATTTTTATTTTTATTTGTATTTATATAAATAGTAATATTTTTATATAATTACTATATAATTATTATTTCTTAAAATTACTAATAAAAATATAAGCAAGGTTTTATCTTAACACCAAAAAAAAATATATTAATATTAATAGAGGTAACCTGTATTAAAATATCTATTACTATCTAGAAATCTTATTTGTTTTAAATTATTAAGAAGTACTATTTTATTAATTTAAAATGTTTATTTTTAATAAGGGTGTGGCGACTTAGTGTAGTTGGTAAGTTATCGCACCCCCAAGCAGCAGGACAAGAGTTCGAATCCCACTGCCGACGAAATTCGAATTTGCAGAAATGCATTATAGTAAAACTGTATGACATATCGATCGGGTAAGCACCTGTGACTTTGGTCTCACCAACTCATATTGGGAGGTTGTGGAACG